ATATAAATTGAATAGGTAGGGTGATAGGATGCAGCCTTGTCTTACCCCTTTGCCAATTGGGAACCATTCTGTTTCTCTGTGTTCTGTTGTGACAGTAGCCTCTTGCCCTTACTACATATTCCTCATCAGGACTATCAGGTGTGTTGGCACTAACATGTCTTTAAAGGCATAGGCTTTCATGATCTATGCAGTTGCTATCATCTATAAAGCACATGCTGATTTTCTTTTGGAACTCACTGCTGTACTCTATTAGCCATCGTATATTTGCAATGTGATCCCTAGTGCCTCTTCATTTCTTGAAGAAAAGGGTCTTTTCCTTTTATTGGTACAGTTTTATTTATACATGGATCTGCATGATTCTAAGCAATGCCAGCATGTCAGAGAGTTACTTTTTGTATTACAGCTTACTGAATCCCCTGACCACATGGTCAATGGCCACATTGGCTGGGGAGTCCAAGAGTTCTCATCCAAAAGGTAATTTCTCCATTGTTGTTGTTGCTGTTGTTACCTGCCCTCAAGTCATATTTGACTCATGGCGACCTGTGGATGAGACATCTCCAAGAACCCCACCCCCATCCTCTACTGTTCTGTTTAGGTCCTGTAATTTCAGGCATGTGACCTTGATTGAGTCTGTCTATCTGGCATCTTACTCTTTCTTTTGCCCTCCACTTTTCCTAGCGTTATTGAAGTAACAGCATAATTTAGGCTAGAGAATATAACCGTAAAAGATGCTAGCTGAAATGAAGTCAATATAGTCAGAGCCTTTTCTAATGAGTCTTGCCTTCTCATGATGTGGTCTAAGTACAACAGCCTTGATTTGGTCATCTTGGCTTCCAGGTAGATTTTTGGCTCTATTTGCTCAAGGATCCACTTGTTTGTCTTTTTGGCTGTTCAAGGTATCCTCAGCACTCTTCTCCACATCTCAAATGAGTTGTTTTTTCCTTTTTATCTGCTTTCTTCACTGTCCAGATTTCACATCCATACATGGTGATGGGGAATACAATGGCTTGGACAATTCTAATATTTAATATTCAGTTGCATATCTTTACTCTTTGTGTAAGTTATGTACTCTTTACTCTTTGTGTAATTTTTCCTTACTCTGCCAATAACTATAGTACAGATCGGCCACAGGATTGTTGCATTTTGTGTGTGTTACTGTGTGAAATCCACATGCAGAGGTGTATCTTGTTAAGATTATAGTCTTGACAAAAGTAGGCCTACTTGTGAATGGAGCTGCTTATAAAGTAGTTGGTTGTTAGTTTGACATCTTCAGACTGGTAGGACTGTGACATTACTCTGGTTCAAAGGGTTGAAATTTTGGATTGTGTCATTTACTATATAATACCTGCCCACTATACTACTTAGGATCCTGTTTTAGTTGCCTGGTTTTCCCCTTTATGCCCAAATTTACATTTTATTTTTCCTGAATAAATCTTTACTCTGAGTAGCAATTTGTTTTCTTTTGTCTCTCTGTTATTTTGAAGCTATTAGCATCACAAAACACTGTATGTGTTTGAAAACATGTTCCTTTATGTATCATATAAGGAGCAGAGTAAAGTATGTGTCAGGAATGGGGAAAGTGTGTTCCATTGGCCTCATGTATTGCCCGTATTTTTTTACACTCCCCACACTACAATTTAAAAGTTGGGGTAACCCCCCCCCCGGATGAACAAGAAATAGCAAACTGAGTTTACCTTTAACATTCATAGCCCACATATCTTATGATGTGAAAAAAATGGGCATGAGCAAATGCAGATGTATGATAAGCAATGACTGATTTCATTTTTCAGTTATAAACTTGACTGAAACTATGTACAGACTGTCATCAGGGGGGCACAAATTGGTCCCTACATCTGCTTCAGATGACCATTCGTTTACATGGAAAATAGTTCAGTTGAAAAACCTTTTAAAAAAAAAAAAAGTAAGGGCAGTGTTATCATCATCATCATCATCATCATCATCATTTTATAAATAAGGACAGTGCAAGTTTTATTGGGGATTTTGTGTGAAACCTTGATTAGCTTGAAATCTGGTTAGCCTGCATCCATTCATTAATGTTAGACTTCAATCCAGAATTACTGCCAGTCTGACCAATGTACCAAACTCAATCTCTTGATAAAATATTCAAATATTATCCTGGCTCATTTAATTGGTTTGGTTCACCATTCCACAACAAATTCAATGCATTTACTTGAGAAGTAGTTGGGAAGTAACTAACAGGATTCCAGCCATTGCCTTCATACCCTTTCAGTGTAATGCCAGGTAAAACATGCAGGCATTTTACCTGAAGGGGTATAGCTGATTAGCTGCTTAATGCCCTGAATTAGTGATTTCTGAAGAAGTTCCAGAACTGTAAGGTTTCACTTAAAAGTCTTTGAGGGCAAGAACGGAAGTAGAGAGGATGCAAAAACATTTAATATTCCTTGCCCTTTGCCACCTTACCTTCAAAATACTGCTGAGATGGTGTGATCAAAGGAAAGCTTTAATCAATAGATAAAACCTAGTACTTCAAGAGATGCTGGGGGAACAACCTCTTGGATGTTCTTTCTGAGGTTCCTGGGCATTCCTCTCTGTTGGTGAACAGGTCAGTTCAGTTGAAGACACTATGAAGTGAGGTGCCCCTATTGAAGTAATTTCAGGCAGTCTGGTGCTGTGGGTTGGGCATGCTAGATAAGAGAAAGCGGGACAGATATTTGAAATCTGGTCTGTGTTTTGGTCCTTTCCTCATGCCTCTCGATTCTGGTTGCCATGTTAGTTCACCCGCTAATCTGTTGATGCTTCTTCTGAATGCCAGGTTGGGCTGTAACAGAACAGCCACTATCCATGACTTGGTTGTGAAGGAAAGGGGTGAACTGGTATGTATCAAAAAGACCTGGGTGGATGAGTCTCTTCCTGGGTGAAGGAGTTGATCTCTCCCAGCTTTGTCACCTGGATATTCAGTGCAGCTCCAACCGAGGTTCTAGATGTGGATGAGTAGTTCTGAAGTTGTGATCCTCTATTCACTTACTTCATACCGGAAATAAGGACACCTGCACTCATTGACACTTAGTTCAAAGCAGCTATGCTTAGGATTATGTTGAAATGATTCTTCCAGCCTACATAGTGTTACCGTAACTGCTTCTGTGTCCGGAGAGGACACTCCAAGACCAATCTGTATTTAGGGGAATTTATACTTAGCTCAAATAGAGAGAGAGAAAATGAGTGGGGTAACTCAGTCTTAAGAGACCTATCCCAAGTTTTACAGGGTCCAAAAGCACACAGAACTTCAAAGGCAGATTTCCAATGCGTATGAGTTTTATTTAAACAGGAAATAAACACACTCACTCAAGCAAACGACCATGCACACACACAAGGACTAGAGAAATGAAAGGAGGGAGGTTGGAATAGTAATGAGGCTTCACTAATGGTGATAATTACCTATGTGGATCTTGAATCCAATTACTGAGGGTCCAGGAAAAGAAACAGGACTCGATTGCTCCCATGGCAAGTGGAGATGGCCGACAGCGTTTTGGCCTAGGGCTAGACTGATCTGGGGACTTGCTGAAATAGTCCCAATAGTTATACCAAAATTATGCCTTAGGGACATATTCCAAGGGGAATATTCCAAATGGTCTTGGAGTTGCTTTTAAATGGATTTAGAGTTACTTGGAAATGGGTTTGGAGTCACTTGGAAATGGTTTTCCAGAGTTGTCACACTGAGGTGTGAATGGAGGGCAATAGACGCACACTTCTGAGGCAGAGATGACTAGTGTGCAAGATCTTCTATGCCCTGTTTTCCTTATAGATACATCCCATTGTCCTGTTTCCTTGGGTCCCATTACCTCCTCCAGAGTGTCTGGAATCGATCGATCAAACTAGGGCCCCATGCAACTCCTGTCTTGCTGGCTTATGTGCTGAAACTATTTCCTGGTCAGGCGTCCACATTTGGGGTTGTAGAAGGGTCATCCAGCCTATGTTTTATTACACTTCTGATAATAAAATAGGAGGGGTGTCTTGGGATACCCATGGGTGCTAATAACAGGCAAGAAGAAATGCAGCCTGCCCTTCTTTCTTTAGCCCTCTTCTCCATCACTTTTGGAAGTTCTCCTTTTATGATTAGGCTATGTGATGCAGAATGTGTTGGAGGAGGAGGTCGTCTTCATGTCTGGTTAGATGACTGAGGAAATGGCACTGGCAGATAATGGAAGCACCAGGTTTCCTACTATAGCTGCTGCAGAATTAATGCTGGCAGTCTGAAAGGAGGTAAGAGAGTATTCTGGCAGATGGAAGAGAGGCTTTCTCTTTCCCCAGTCTCTGAGGTAATTCCCAGTAGGCAGTGTTTTAAGACTGTTCACTGTGTTTTCACAGGAGTAAGACAGGATGCATATAAAGTCTCCCTTGTTGCAAGAGGTTCGTATTTCAGTTACAAATATTAGTGATAGGAGCTGACTTACCTCATTTTCTCTCCCCCCCATTTTAATTTTATCTGTGACTTGGCAAATAAGGATTCTTCCATTTACTTCTAATGTTTTCTTATGCATTAAAAAACACTTTTCTCTATAAGCTGGGGACATGAGTCTTACTGTGCTCTTTTATTGGTAAATTTGGTTAACTAAACTTATGGTAATTAACAACACAACTGTAGTTTCCCCACTGACATTAAGACAGTCTCTCCATTTAAAAATGACAACAGAATATATTTTAAAAACTTGAATGACTATAATATTTTCCTTTATCTAATTGAATTCTCTACAAGAATATACCCCCACCACTTTTTGTGTGTGTGTGTGCTGGAAATGCTTCTTTTTGCCTAGAGATTTAAGGCCATCACATAAAATAAAGCTTCTGTATATTGTTCATGATACAGTAACGCTTAGAGACTGTTGATAAAATCAGACTCACTTTGTACCAGGCACTTGGCACATATGTAGCAAAACCGGAGGAGACCTTGCTTCTAGGAGTCTGTAAGATGAACCATTAGTATTCACTGTCCCAGCCAAAGTTAGTGCATTTAAGTCACTTTAAGAATGGCATAGTGGTTAGAGCGTTGGACTATGGCTCTGGAGCCAGGGTTTGATTCCCAGCTTGGCAACGAAACTCACTGGATGACTAATACTACAAACTAACTAATGACTAATACTACAAAACTTATATTGCTAAATGGATACACTGTGCTGTTTGCTAAGGCATCTAGGTGGTGCTCATAATATATATGACATTAAAAGATATAGCTGTGTTAGTCTGTAGAATCAGTTGTAGAGAGATCTTGTAGCACCTTTAAGACTGCTAGCACTAATGCTTCCTTCCTCCCACTTACTCATTGTTAGTCTAAAAGGTGCTACAAGATTTCTCTATGTTAAATTTGTTTTTGAGTCTCCATATAAGCAGAACTGTCTTTAGAGCTGTCTAAAATATTGGGGACGGAGTGTCACTCCATTACTTAGTAATGAAACACCTCTGTATTTACCAATAAAATGGCCTACTTGGACAGGATCTAATGCTGTTTTTTGAAGGCAAATAAAAATGTTTATATCTATATATCCAGATCTAGATGTGGTTATATATAAAATGTGTTCTTAAAATAACATGTTTAAAACTGAAATCTGACATTTAAAAACAAAATATAATTGAGTTTGTACACTTGCAGTCCTCTGTTTGTATCAGGTACAGTGGTCCAGGTTGAACAACTATTTTCTATAATTTAGATGAGACATGCATAAGCTTTTTGTCCAAGCACATGCCTCCTAGCTCTTCCTTTTGTAAGCTTATGGGAATAGAAGAGGTGGAGGAATTTTGCTGACTGACTGGTTTCTGGAGCCATTCTGTTATGCTTTATATATTGTATTTATTAAGTGACATGAATATTTAGATCAGGGACTGGGAACATCTGACCTTCCATATGTTGCTACCTCCAACTCTTGTCATAGTGTCCTGTCCAGCAACAACTTTGTTGTTATTGTTGCTGACTGCCATTAGGTTGACTTCAACTTATGGTGACTCTATGAATGAGAGACCTCCAGGTCACCTTCTCATCCACAGCCCTACTCAGGCCTCCCAAACTCCGGGCTGTAGTTTCCTTGATTGAGTCTGTATATCTGCAATGTCATCTTTCTCTTTTCTGCCTTACCAAGATTGATTACCTTTTCTGGTGAGTTATGTCTTCTCATGATAGGTCCTAAGTATGACAGTTTTAGTCTTCTTGGTTTCTAGAGAGAGTTCAAGTGCTGACTGAACAGCCTTCTTCAAGGAAGTGGGCTTCTTTAGTGTCCTTATATATGTCCATGTTCAAATAGAAAGTGTTCATGTCACAATTGTTTCTCTTTTATTATTCTTTTACACAAAGTCCATATGGGATGTATGACCAAAGTTTTGGATTTTGCTGTTCAGTAATATAAAGATCCTATGTAGTGTGTGTGTGTGTGTATTTTAATCATTAGTGCAACTAGTTAGTATGCATTATCTTTCAGGAAGCATGTATGAATTAAAAATCTAGAGTGGATCTGCTATGGATCATTAGTAAATTAATCCTCTGTAGGAGGTTTTCGCTGCAATATGCACTCTAGCTCTTCTTTATCCACTGAATATTTAATCACCTATGGGCTTTCTTTTGATATTGGTGCAGTGGAAATGGGAAAGAATGTAAATGTAGGACTAGGATTGAGAGCACCTGCATCTTTATTAAATAACCAAACATTTGGGTAGCTGGAAAGGCAGCAAAGATCTCATTGCTTGCCTATTGGGAGGGAATGACATGAAGCAGAGGAGGATCCTCAGAGTAGGACTCTTGACCCTCTCCAGATTCAGAACACTCAAACCTCATCAAGCCTTTTAACAGTACCTGAAGGTTAACAACCTCTTCTTGTTTTTCTATAGCCATGTACTTGCCTAAGTTCCCTTGGGGAAAGAGAGCACATTAGTAGAAGATTTAAAACAACTGTTGATACTGGCCACCCTGTCCCTTCTCTGCAGTTTAAGATGTAATCAGCTCCTGCTGCATAATGAGAAATAGTCTCCTTATCTTTTTAGTCTATATGTTCTGAGAAATATAAAATGGTCCCAGTGTCTTACACCCAGCTTAGCCCTCTAGAAACCTGTTGTAGTGGTGGGCATCTCTTTTTCTCCATAGGATCTGTGGTTGGCCAGTCTTCTCCAAAGATAGCACATATTCCAAAAAGCGGTCTTTAGAAACTTCCCTTCGGTAAAATGAGTGCTGTGTAGCTGGATTATTCATAAGGTTAGGCATTGTGTTTGGAGGTCAGAGTTCTGGGATTTTTTT